CAGGTCGTGATCCCAGGGTCCTGGGATTGAGCCCCATGTAGGGCTCCCTGCTCAGTGGGGAGTTTGCTTCTCCCTCTGCCCCTCCCCCTGCATATGTGCTCTCTCTCTCTCAAATAAATAAATCTTAAAAAAAAAAACCATCACTTTCCTCATAGGACTTGCTAAGACATTTTTGTATATTGGTGATTTAATTTTAATTATGTCAATGATTGTCCTGTAAGTTCTTCCCCAGCTTTAGATTTGAGAAATTTGGCATCTATCTCACACCAAGTTTATTTGGGGAAAGATCAGTTGAACATTACAAGGCTAAGTTGTGCATCATTTATGAACTTTGTTTTATCATCCTCATGGTAAACAGAATTACCACTGAGTGATGTTTACTGTTCTCTAAATGCCATAATTAAAAAAAATCCTTTTTGAGCCTGTGTTGTTTTGACCAAATATAAGTTATTAGAATTTGTATAAAAATTTATCTTAAACTATCTAGGATTTACTTATTAAGATCAAACTTTTAAATTGAGTGACCATGATTATATTATCTAAAAATAAGATATTAAAAAGTAGTGGTATATGGTAGAACCCATACTGGACAGGAATTAGGAGATTTGACTCTTACTACTACATGACTTTTGGAAAATTTGTATTTTAAATGCTTCTTTATTCATAAAATAAAGAAGTTAGGGGAAAAGAAAGCAGGCTTTAGAATCTAAAAGAATTGGCTTCTAATCTTCAACCTGCCATTAATACAGAGTGACCTTGCCAAGTCACATATCTAAACCCCTGTTCCCTATCTGTAAAGTAGGAATAACAGTATTTATCTCATAAAACTATTGTGAATACTAATGAAATAATGCATAAAAAGTCCTTAGACCGGGGCACCTGGGTGGCTCAGTTAGTTAAGCGACTGCCTTCGGCTCAGGTCATGATCCCGGGGTCCTGGGATCGAGTCCCACATCGGGCTCCCGGCTCAGCAGGAAGCCTGCTTCTCCCTCTCCCACTCCCCCTGCTTGTGTTCTGCTCTCGCTGTCTCTGTCTCTGTCAAATAAATAAATAAAATCTTAAAAAAAAAAAAAAAAAATCCTTAGACCAGTGCCTGGCACTGAGTAAATAATGTTAACTGTGATTATACTAGGTGATGTTTTATGTGCCCACAAACTTGCAGAAAAGATTTTGGATTATATGATTTCATAACTTTAGTAACTTGGGCTTTATAGGTGGTGTTTAGTGAATGATCACTTTTAGTATGTTTCCCACTGTAATGACTTAAGAGAGCCTGTCTTTTTTGAACATTATTTTCCCTGGAAAGTATTCTAGCTCTTGAAAATAGCCATTCTGTATCATCTTTTCTGGACCTTGCATGATTTATAAAATGAAAATGGAGTAATAATCTGCATTACTATGTTAGTAGGACTATAAAGTTTCCTTCTTTAATTCTTACAATTTTTCTTTTTCATTTCTCCCCCCCCCAACCTAACAATGTGACATTAATACTGTACTTTTTGTATCATGGCAGGAGAATTTAGTACTTGGCAGCTTATGAAGAAGACACTTCGAAACAGGAATATCAAAATGTCACTCAAAATATCCCACTTAGGCAGTCCTCTTCTTAACCTCTGTAACTCCCTGTACTCAGATCCATTGTTCAGAGATTGGATTTCTCTGAGATAGTATAAGATTTAGCTTGACAGTTTGATGTTAATTTAGAAAAGTTGTGAAACATATGGAGATTAAGGCTTAAAATAATGTTAACAAAGTTTTCTAGGTATTTTACTTCTTTTTTTTTCCTGTGTATTACTCTAGCCAGGTAAATGAGTAAATAAGAATATCTAAAACCCATTTTTTAAAATTGTGGTAAAATATGAATAACGTAAGCTTTACCATTATTAATTCTTTTTTAAGTATATGGTTCTTTTTTTTTTTTTTTAAGATTTATTTGAGAAAGAGAGAGAAAGAGACAGCATGAGCAGGAGGGGAAGAGGGAGAGAGAATCTTAAGCAGACTCCATGCTTAGCTGGAGCCCGACGTAGGGCTCCATCTCAGGACCATGAGATCATGACCTGAGCTGAAACCAAGAGTCGGACACTTAACCAACTCCACCATCCTGATGCCCCAAGTATATGGTTCTCGATATCAAGTACATTCACGTTGTATCACATCCATTTCCAGACTTTTTCAATCTTCTCCAACTACAACTCTGTACCTATTAAATACTAACACCCAAGCTCCTTCTTGCCTCACCCTAGCTTCTGATAACCACCATTCTACTTTCTGTTTCTATGAGTTTGACTACTCTAGCAATCTCAGGTAATTGGAATCATATGTTTGTCCTTTTATAACTGGCTTCTTTCACTTAGCATGTTTTTAAGATTCACCCATGTGAATTTTGACATGTGTCAAAATTTCTTCCTTTTTAAGGCTAAATAATATTCCATTGTGTGTATATGCCACATTTGGTTTATTCATTCATCCATCCATGGACACATGGGTTGCTCCTGTGGCTACTGTGAGTAATGATGCTATGAACATGGGTGTACAAATATATGTTCCAAGTTCCTGCTTTTACTACTTTTATGTATATACCCAGGAATGGAATTGTTGGTTCATATGGTAATTCTATATTTAATATTTTGAGGAATCACCCTCCTGTGTTCCATAGTGGCTGCGCCATTTTACATTCCCACCAGCAATGCACAAGAGTTCCAATTTATAAATTTGATAGAGACACAGCAAGAGAGGGAACACAAGCAGGGGAGTGGGAGAGGGAGAAGCAGGCTTCCCGCAGAGCAGGGAGCCTCGTGCGGGGCTTGATCCCAGGACCCTGGGATCATGACCTGAGCTGAAGGCAGATGCTTAACGACTGAGCCACGCAGGCGCCCCAAGAGTTCCAATTTCTATACATCCTTGCCAAAACTTATTTTCTGTGGTTTTGTTTATTTGTTTTGGATAATAGCCATCCTAAATAGTCATGAGTGTTAAGTGGTATATCATTGTGGTTTTGATTTGCATTTTCTTTTTTTTTAAATTAACATATAATGTATTATTTGTTTCAGGGGTACAGATCTGTGATTCATCAGTCTTAACACAATTCACAGTGCTTACCATAGCCCGTACCCTCCCCAATGTCCATCACCCAGCCACCCTATCCCTCCCACCCCCCTCCACTCCAGCAACCCTCAGTTTGTTTCCTGAGATTAAGAGTCTCTTATGGTGATTTGCATTTTCTTACTGATTAGTGTTGGTGAGCATCTTTTCATGTGCTTAATGGCAGTTTATGTCTCTTTGGAGAAATGTCTATTCGTGTCCTTTGTCAGTGTTTGATGAAGGACTTTTGAGGTGACATTGTCAGAGAAGCTATTAATACATGACAGTGAACTAGCTAGGGTGATGCTACATGGGATTAAAACTTGTTGAAGAGAAAAACCACAAGTCAGATGCAAACATTGTCAGTGGTTGTTCCTCACTGCCTCAGTTGCACTTTATCACTTATAAGTCATGGTTTTTATTTATTTTTTTAAATAAAATAGAAAAATGTACTGTATATTCAACTTAGTAATTTAGGGGAAAAGTAAAGGAAACTAAGGGAGGTAACAACAGAAATAAACTATAAACTAGAAAATGGTAGAATTAGTAACTATAAGAGCTGGTTTTTATTAAAAAGTTAGGAAATAAAGAACTTGATGAGCACTATACAAAGAAAAATAACAGAACTAGAATTAGAATCTGAAAACAGGGACTATATAAAAAATAGGGATTTTTAAAAATTAGAATCTACGCTCAGATGTATGATAAATCTCAGTGTAATGATGTTATATGGCTGAATGGTATTTTATTTTGTATGCTTGTAATCAAATACAGTCCTTTTATTTTGGTTATTCAGTAATTATTTGTTTTCAGAAAAATCCTAGATGTTTCATTCAACTTAGTTTTTAGCACAAAATTCCCTGTGTGTGTATGTAAGTAGACATCATATACACACATTTGGTAAGTAAGTTTGATTTCATTGTAAAGACTTAAGAGAGTAGATGTTTATATGGCAAAATTTTGTGGAGAATAATTTCATTAGTATTCTTCCCTAATTAGAGCTTTCAATAAAACACTGATTTTACCAAAACTCTCAGAGCTGGATAATAAATAGGAAAATGTGAGGATGGACTACGCTTTTATATTTGCTGAATTCTACCATTGATGTTGAATAACTTTACTCTTTAAGGCTAAATTTGAATTTAATGATGGATTTGGTTTTCTTCTTCTATTTTTATTTATCTTTAAGATTTTATTTATTTGAGAGAGAGAGTGAGTGAGAGGGAGAGAGCACACAAGCCTGGGGAGAGGCAGGTGGAGAGAGAGAAGCAGACTCCCCACTGAGCAGGGAGCCCGATGCAGGGCACCATCCCAGGACCCTGAGATCATGACCTGAGCTGAAGGCAGCCGCTTAACCAACTGAGTCCCCCAGGCCCCCCAGTTTTCTTCTTTTAAATCATGTGTCAATTACTATAAATTATAAAATGTGGGTTTCAGTAATATAATGAATTGTACCCATGAATTCGCAGGCTTCATGGATAATATTTTTAAATTTTATTTCCTTTTAAAATTATTCATTTAAGTAATCTTTACACCCAATGTGGGGTTCGAACTCAGTACCCTGAGATCAATAGTTGTATGCTCCACCGGCTAAGCCAGCAAGACTTCCCCAATGGATATTTTTATTTTTAACTTATTTTTAAAAAAGATTTATTTATTTTAGAGTAGGGGGGAGGGCAGAGGGAGAGGGAAAGAGTTCTAAGCAGACTCCGCACGGAGCATGGAGCCTGACTCAGGGCTCAGTCCCATGACCTTGAGATCACAACCTGAGCCGGAACCAAGAGTCCGGTGCTTAACTGACTGTGCCACCCAGGTGCCCCAGGGTAATATTTTTAAAGTGAGGAAGGAATTTAGTTTGCAAATAGTAGTAATATGAAAATATTATTAAAAGGTATTGCTTTCCTTCATTTTTCTAACAGGGTCAGCATATTTCATTAGCACCTATTCAAAAGCTTGAAGAAGCTCTATATGAATACCAACCACTGCAGATAGAGACATGTGGACCACAAGTTCCTGAGCTTGAGATGCTGGGAAGACTTGGGTAAGTCTCTAAGAACTTCTCATTGAGTAACTGATGTTTAGGCCTTATCGGTTAGTACTATTTTTAACTTACACTTTAAAAAATTCTTAGATTTTGAATTTTAGAACTTTACTCTTTTGTGAAAAATGAATGCTTAATACTAAGTGTACACATTTTTTTGAATGTTTTTGTTAGGTCTTTTGAGATTAAGATTGGATTATATTAGTTCTTTTTAATGATGTTGTTGGCAGCCATACTGAAGTAGCTGTTCATTTTCAGCTTACTGTGTAATTTTTTAGAAATAGGAGCTTAATTTAGTCATTAGTAAGCCAGTAAAGATATGAGAGTTGTGACCTTGCCATGAAAAGGAGTAGATTTACTCATTGTCTGCTGATAACAGTGTAACTATATTTATGAGAAATAAGCCACAAAGGCTTATTTAGATTTAAGGTATAATGTAGGGCTGGCCCAGTGGCTCAAAAGCCATATTCTGTGCATCTATTTTGGAAATGAACCTTGGGATGGTGACTCTTGTGGGTGATGGAGATGATCACAGTCTGTCTCAGGGAAGCAGGTGGGTATCTATAGTGTCCTTGAGAAGTTCAGGCACAGACTTTGTTGAATGAGACAAGTCATTTCTTGGTCTGGTGTCTCAAGCTAAAGTTTTGAATGAAAAGATGATCTAGAAACCATTGCTTGTTAACAAAATAAAATAGTGTAAAGAATATAATGTGAAAAGAAAATAATGGGTACAATGAAACAAGTGATTAAAAAGTAATTTAAAAAAAGACCCCAACAGCAAAAATAAGATAGATAAAATAGATAATAAACCTACATACAAAAATAACAAAACAAAAAACAACAAAAAACCTATATGCATCTTCAAAACCAAAATCTTGAACATGACTCATAGTATTATACATATGAAACTGGAGGCTCTAAGTTCAAATGACTATTAAAATGATAAATAATTTACTAAGCTGCTATTTAGTAGATCTTATTATTTTCTTTAGTTCTGTATTCTCTTAAGGTCCTGCATCTTCCAAACATGAAGCTAAGGAGATGTGAAACAAAACCTAAAACTCCTTTTGAGTTTGAGATAACAAATTTATCAAATAATTTGCCTAAGTGCTAAAATTGAAGCTTGAGATAGACAATATAGGGTTTCATGATGTAAAAAGTTATTAGTGATAAAGATGTTGGTTTCTTATCTCTTATTGGGTTAGCAAGAGCCAGAATTCTAGATCTGTAAAATAAGTTTTCTTAAAATCTTTACTTTTAGTGTTAGTGAAGACAAAGTATTTAAAATAGTATTCCTTTGTTACAGGGTTTTGCATTTTCTAATAGTTTTTTCATCAAAATTACATTTGAAAGATTATAGAAGTGGGCATGCATAATAACAATGCACAAGTGAAATGTGTGACAAACAGTACAAAGGATAGGAAGAGGAAATAACTGTTGTTGTAATGTTCTTACAGTATGCATGAAGTGGTATAGTAGTGTCTGGAAATAGATTGTGGTAAGTTAAAGATATTTAATATAAGCCCTCTAGCAACTACTAAAAATGTGGAAAAAAAAGGGACAGTCAGTCAATAGCAGAGAAAAATAATGAAATCATAAAAAAATACTTCCTTAATGAAAAGGAGAACAGGAAGAGAGGGTTACAAAAATAAAGAAATGAAACAATTAAGAAACAAAATGGTAGTAGATTTAGTCTTAACTCTGTCTGTAATTTCATTGCATATAAATGTTCTAAACCAGCACCATCCAATACAACTTTCTGAAATGATAGAAATATTTTACGTCTATGCTGTCTGGCACAGTAGCCCTCAGCTTCATGTTTCTGCTGAGCACTTGAATGTGTCTAATGCAATTGAAAAACTCAGTTTTAAATTTTATTCAGTTTAGTTTAAATAACCATGTATGGTGAGTGGCTCCCATACTGGGTAGCACAGGTCTAAATATTCTAAATAATAAGCAGAGATTGCCAGATTGAATTAAAAACAAGATTTACTATATGTTTTCTATAAGGAACTGGCATTGTATAAAAAAATATAGTTTCTCTGAGCTTTCCAAGTTTCTCTGTACTTCTTGGATCTATAATTTGTTGTTTTTATTTTGTAAATATCTCAACCATTATTTCTTCACAGATTTCTTTTTCATCAAAGAAAGTGTTTCTGATTTGCTATTTTTATATCTAGCATTTCCATATCACTTCTTTTTATAATTTTCATCTCTTTTCTGAAATTCCCTGTTTATATATGTTCTCTACCTTTTTTCCTAGATCTTTTAACTTATTAATCATGTTATTTTAAAATGCCTTTTTGATATCCAACATCTCTGGGTCTGGTTCTGTTGATTATTTTATGTCATGATGATAGATTTATTTTTCTTGCTTTCTTGTGTTCATTATAATTATTGTTTGAGTATTGGATATTCAGTGTCACAGAAAGCAGAGACTGAGATTTATGCCCCAAAATATTTATGTCTTTTTCTTCTGTCAGGGCATTAGATAGGGAATTGAGTATTAAGTCTATAGTTTGATTTTAGTTTGGGTTTTGTTGTTGCTCCAGTTGTTGCTCAAAGGCTTCAACTTCTTCCAGATAGTCTATTGCTGCTTTGTGCCTAGTATGAGGCTTGGAGTGCTGGAGGGATCTTTTCAGTCTTGCTCCACTCTCAGCTTTCAGCAGCAGGCTCTGGCCGCCTGAGCCACATTAGGGTTCTCTCTTGGTGCTCCTCCCCAGCAATAGAGTGCTTTTTCCTCTTTACTTGGAATAAGTTTTGTGGTGGGAACAAGGGGATTTCTAAGTTCTCCTTAGTTCTCAACTTTAGCCTTATGAGATCTTGTGTGCTAGAACCTCAGGGTAGTGTTTTCTTGGTGTATCTATCTCTTTCTTGGAGGCAAACAATTTTTGTCTCTTATTTCAGAGTGCAGGTGGGTTTGCTAGTCCTCTCCCAGCCCTACAACTGAACTGTCTTATGTTGATAGCACGGGAAGTGTTGGCTATAAGACAGTTTTCTGTTCCTCCTGCCCCCCATCACTGCTTTGCATCATTATGTTAGCACAGGTAAGAATTGGTTTCATGCCTTTCCTCAGTGGTTGAAGGCTCTTGTCAGTATAGAGCTGAGGAGGGTGGCAGTAGGTTTTCTACTTCTCGCCCAGTGGCAGCCAACCTTTGCCTTTCCCAGCAGCTGAATCCTGGCTGGTTTTTTTTTTTTAAGTTCATTTCCTCTTGTATTTAGTGTTCTATATTGCCAATTTTTATTGGGTCTTTTCAATGGAATATCCCGCTTATCTTCCTCTTTTAATCTGCTATGATTGTGCTGCTGCTGTATATATGTGTGTGTATATTTAACTAACTCTATTAGAAATCTGTATAAAATAGATGTAGCTTGATTGCTTTTTTGCCCAACAATTTTGAGTAAATTGTTACATTTAATAAACTTTGGCACCTCTTCTGAATGTTGGACCCCTTTTTGGTTTCCTTTTGCCTTTACCATTATGATTTAGATTTTGAAATGTAGGGTAAGTGTCCTTTAGATAAGATATAACCATAGCATTTGTACTTTTCCCAAGTTTTTCATACCTGAAATCTTACTTGAAGCTAAGTAAAGGAGGCTGGATTACTTTTTTTTTTTTTTTCGGTGTTGTTGGGTGGGGGACTTTCATTAACCATTGAGTATTTAGAATACAGTTAGTTCCAGAATTTCTTTTTTCTTTTTCTAAGATTTTATTTATTTATTTGAGAGAACACACGTGTGTGCACACACACCTGGCCGGGGTGGGGGTGGGGACTTCCCGGCAGAGGGAGGGCGAAGCAGACTCCCCGCTGAGTGGCAGGGCTCCATCCCAGGACCTGGAGATCATGACCTGAGCCAAAGGCAGACACATAACTGACTGAACCACCTAGGTGCCCCCAGAATTTTTTGAAGTAGACTTTTGCTTCTCTTAACAAAGACTATACATATATTCTATATCCACAATAGTTACAAGGGCAAATTGTTCTGATTTCAAATAAATATGTATGTTTAAGTCAATAGACCTTGACTGTAACAGTTTCTTTTAGCCATCTGTGGCTAAGTAGTATAGGAATTTCTAGATCATCAACAGTGATATCAGAACTGCTAAAGGAACAGTGACTTTTTCCTGATATAGAACTATTTATCTACCAACATAGAATTCATCCCACATCTCTTCAGCCTTCTACCTTGAGAAAGGGATTGAATTCTATACAGACAGCTTTAGTATTTGTAGCTGAGATCAGCTCAAGCAGTCTTTTTGGTGAGTTATAGCCTCATACTGAAACATTTGCTAAAATAAATTCTAAATTGATTTCTTATACTATTAGTTCATTTTCTCTTCTGGAATTATTATTTGAAGATAGCTATATGCTATCTTATTTTTTTCTTATTAAAGAAAACTTTATAAATCTAAGGATATATTTTTACCTAATCTAACTTTCAGAAACATTTAGAGAGAAACTGAAGAATTTGTTCTCTGAAGTGACTTTTCAAAGAATGATTTATATCCTCAAAGGTGCTGCTCTTAGGGTAAAAGGAATATAAATTTAAGTTGACTAAAGGTATAATAATTACACATCTGTCCTAAAATTTGTCCATGTCTTGCATCTAAATAAGCTCCATTTATCCCTTTATGGTGGGATCTCCCCCTTTCCCCAGTCCTCTAGCTTCTATTCCTCTCTCTTTTCCTATTACAACAAAATTTCTGTTTTATATTATGTTATCCTACAGAGGGAACAAATTCAATTTTTCTAGAGGCAAACAGAGAATAAATTAACTACCTTGTTTCTATTTTCTTATATCTTCTTTGTAATCTGTGTGACTTGGTGAAGTTAAGAATGGTACACTTTGCACTTTCACTTTAGCTAGTGCAAAAGTATGTGCAGGCACTTTCAGAATAATATTAATTATGTATTTTGGGGAGTAGGTGATATAAGGTCTTAGGTGGCATTGTGTCTCCAAAGAACTACGTTTTTGTCCTTATATATAACTTTGAAAAAGGATGAAATCAAAAGTACATTGTCATGAAATTTTTGGTGTTTTTTTACTAAGATCTTTTCTAAAGTTACTTAAACTTGAGAAGCAGAAGAAGAATAAATGAAAATTTTTCATTCAGGAGGGTATTATGAATGGATAATTATAGTTCACATTGCACTGGTAGTATTCTTCTGGTTTGCTCAAGGCAATATGTAAACATGTTTATTAATTCTGTGCCAGTGGGAGAAAGCATTGGGAAAACTTAAATGCTAATTGAAATTCCGTAAACAATGGCTTTCGTGGTTAGTCTAGTAGTTTCATTGATTGGCACTCTGAGACTATCTTTTTAGTAATCAACTGGATTTCTAGTTAATGTTTTACTACCTTCCACCCAAAGACGAGTTATTCCCTTAAATGATATAAATTATGAGTGCTTATCAATTTTGTTCATCAATTTCAAATTATTTAATCAGATATCTCTACTGTTTTAGGTAGATGGAAGTGATTTATTTAATATGAGCTTTTCATTTGTGAGCTTATTACAAAAATAAGGAAAGCCTGTTGTTTTATAAGATAAAATATGATCTTTAAGATCTCTTCTGTTAACGTAACTGATATGAGTGTGTGCTATCAGTTATGATAGCTTTATTTTTTACTTTTTAAAGATTTTATTTTTATTTTATTTTATTAAAAGATTTTATTTATTTGAGAGGGATAGAGGGAGAGGGAGAGAGAGAATCCCAAGCAGACTCCATGCTGACTGTGGAGTCCCATGTGGGGCTTGATCTCACTACCCATGAGATCATGACCTGAGCTGAAATCAAGAGCTGGATGCTTAACTGACAGAACCACCCAGGCACCCCTAAAGATTTTTAAAGTAATCTCTACACCCAGTGTGGGGCTCGAACTTACAATCCCGAGATCAAGGGTTGCATGCTCTACTGACTGAGCGAACCAGGTGCCCCAAGTTATGAGAGCTTTCAAAAACAGATGTAAAGTTTGATGGTTTAATATCTTGAGTTCCTTCCTTACCAGATGCTAAGATTAGTTAGCTATTATTACATAATCAATAGTGAAAAAATTTGTGACAGTAATAGTATTGAATTGACTTAGTTAACTCTAAGAATAATTAGAAGATAGTTTTTTGTTTGATCTCTGTCAGCACCTATCAGTTTTGTTTTCTTGTGTAGCCATAGACTACCTTGATAAAACCAACCAACCAAAAGTTAACTAACCTGTTAACAAATCCATTACTGTTAGCAAAGCAATTAGAAGTGTTCATTCTTGAGGGAATCGTACAGGGTATAGTCCCCAAAATAGAAGATCCACCTTCACAGTAACCTTGGAGATGCTTTCATGACTTTTCTTTTGCTCTTAAGAACTGTTTTTCTTTTTTCCAATTGATAAATTAGAATTTTATATATCAAGAATTTGAGATAAGACATTGAACCTAGTCTATCAAATTTTTTGTTATAACACTCTGTCTCCCTTCTTAAGGACTTACTCGTTGTTGCCATAGAAGACTAATATATCATTCTGGTCGTGTCTCTTTCTTATTAATATCTTTCAATGGCTCATCATCACCTGTACAATCTGACCCCTATCTTTATAGTCATATAGCCTACCCCCTTATACTTGGTGTTTCTTAAGAACCTTATAGTGTCTCACATATTTTTGTGTTGTTGCTCATGCTGTTTCCTTTCCTTAGCATTTTCCTGTTGTCTTATATTTGTGGCACAGTCCACCTGGTAATTTCTTTTCCTCCCTATGCATGAGTTGTCTGTTTATTCCCCTTGTCTCCTTTTTTATTGGGATAGTATTGTTTTCCTTATTTATTTAAATGAGTCAGCTGTGTAGTAAGTCTATTAATCCTTAAGATTTTAAATTTTATTTTATTCTTTTTTTTTTAAAGATTTATTTATTTATTTATTTTAGAGAGAGAGAGTGGGGATGGGGGAGAGGCAGAAGGAGAGGGAGAGAATCCCACGCCGACTCTGCACTGAGCACAGAGCCCAACGCAGGGCTCTATCCTATAACCCTGAGATCATGACCTGAGCCAAAACCAAGAGTCAGATGCTAACCGACTGTGCCACCCAGGTGCTCCTTATTTTTTTTATTCTTTTTAAAAAAGATTTACTTAATTATGAGAAGGAGAGAGGAAGTGCATGAGTGGGAGGGGCAGAGGGAGAGGGAGAGAGAATCTCAAGCCGACTCCGCACTGAGCACAGAGCCTGACGAGCGGGACTCCATCTCATGACCCCAAAACCATGACTTAAGCTGAAACCAAGAGTTGGGTGCTTAACTGATTGTGCCCACCCAGGCGCCCCTTAGTTTTTTATTCTTACATTGTTTATGATATGCAGTAGTTTTAATTCTGAGCAGTGGATGTATTGATGATGTTTTAATTTTCCATTGTTCTTCTACTAGGGAAGTCCTAAACCAACACAGAACTTTATATACATTTATATTCTAAATTTTGTGTAGCTTCAATTTTTATATCTAATATGGCACTTAATCCACCTGGAATTTATTTTTTTTATAAGGAGCTATGAAAGAATCTATTTTTTCAAGATGGTGAATCAATTGGCCCAGACCAGTATATCCAGTAATACTTATTTTTTCTACTCATGTGTTTTATTAATATAATAAGACTTTTTCTCGACTGCTCTTTCTTTTCCATTAATCTATGTTTCAATTTTTTAACAGTATCACATAATTATTAATTTAAATTTATATGTTTTAATATTAATCTGTGCATTTATTTTCTATTGTTGTGTATCAAATTACCACAAATTTAAGTGGCTTAAAACAACATCCATTTTTATCTCATTCATTTTCAGTGTTTGTGAGTCAGCAGTCAGGGCATGGGTTACCCAGATCCTTGTAACTCAGGTGTCACATGGTCGTAATCAAAATGTCAGCAGGTGCTGTGGTTCCATGTAAGTGAGGCTTGGTGGTGGGGTGGGGGGAGTTGTCTTCCAAGCTTTTATATTATTGGCAGAATTAGGTTTTTTTTTTTTAATTTTTTTTAAAGGTTTTATTTATTTATTTATTGGAGAGCGAGCGAGAGAGAAATAGCATGAGAGAGGAGAGGGTCAGAGGGAGAAGCAGGCTCCCCGCTGAGCTGGGATCCCGATGTAGGACTTGATCCCAGGACCCTGGGATCATGACCTGAGCCGAAGTCAGTCGCTTAACCAACTGAGCCACCCAGGCGCCCCTGGCAGAATTAGATTTTTTGCAGATGTAGAACTTATGGTAGCTTCCATCTTCAATGCCAGCAAGAGAAAACCACTTTGAATCTCTTACTTTTTTTTTTTTTTTTTTTTTTAAAGATTTTATTTGACAGAGAGAGCACAAGCAGAGGGAGAGAGAGGGAGAAGCAGGTTCCCTGCTGAGCAAGGAGCCCGATGTGGGACTCGATCCCAGGACCCTGGGATCATGACCTGGCCGAAGGCAGCCGCTTAACCGACTGAGCCACCCCGGCGTCCCTGAATCTCTTACTTTTAAAGGTTACTTACCTGATTAAGTTTCGCCCACCTAGATAATTTCCCTTTTTATTAACTCACAGTCAACCAATTTGAGATCTTAATTACATCTGCAAAATCCCTTTTGCCATATAATCTCAGGAGTGAAATCTATCATATCGCCCCATGGGGAAGGGATTTTGCAAGGATGCACATAAGGGAATCTTGGGGGCCACCTCAGAATTCTGCCTACCACAGGTGGGACAAGTCTTCCTTTACTATTTATCTTTTTCAAAGTAGTTTTAGCATTTTTATACATTTATTCTTCCAAGTAAACTTTGTTGGCCAAAGCAGCAAATCACTGTACAGTTCTTTCAAGCTTTCTGTCCATTTGAAAAATTTCATAATAAAAGTGTTGTGAAACAGTAATAAAAAAAACCAAAGCCCACCAACTACTTACCTAAGATATACCCATTCTTCTCACTCCTTAGATAATAACCAAGCACGACTCCTTTTGGAATTTTATTTGGAATTGCTTTAAACTTATAAACTGATTAGAAAAGAATGGGTATTTAAAATTTACTGAGTTTTCATATATCTCACTTAGAAATTAATTTTTTGTTATAGTTGTGATACTGTTATAAAATTATTTTCATTATGCTTTCTGATTCTTAAATTTATTTTTATTTTGTATCTAGCTGCTTTACTGAACTCTAATAATTTTCTTCTATTAGGTGAATATCTGGGTTTTATTTGGAAGTGAATCATCTGAAAAAAATGAAGTTCTTCTTTTAAATATTCTATGTCTGACTTCAGTTTTATATTTTGTTGAATTTGGCTAGAACTTCTTGACCTGGTGTTATCTAATTCTGATAACTGCAGTTTCTTGTTTCTGATGCTTCAAGTGTTTCGTCAGTGATTTTTCTTACCATTTTGGAGAAGCATTTTTTTTAAGTCACATTGAAGAAATTTCTGGTTTTTGATCAGGGTCTTTACCTGTTGACTTATACATGGATTGTCTAAGAATGGAGAAAAGGTGTTTGTTTTATCTTTGTTTTTGATGCTCTCCATCTAAGTTTATATGTTAGTTTTATGAAAAGTCTTAGGGATACTAGAAAATAAAAGAATATGGAAAAATTGAAAAGTCACAAAAAAGACTGCAATATGTATGTGTATATAATATATGACATATGTTATATTTTGTTGTAATTATGAACATATTACTAAATTAACTTTTTTTTCACTGGCCGTGACAGCAAAATGTCTTTAGTATCTGTTTTTCTTGGCATTTGAATTAGAAATCAGCTCACACATCTAACATGAACCTTTGTGCTTAAAGTTCTAGTCTGGCTCTAGTCTGGTAAGTTTTAAATCTTTTTTATGCAATCATGAAAAAAATATGTTTCTGCTTGAAGCAGTTGTCAAACAAGCTTCTTTCATCGGCAGTCAGACACAGGGCAGCTGAATGAAGCTGTTTAGTCTAGAGTAAATGCTCACGAGATTACAAGGTCACTGAGGAAATGTAATTATGCAGTTGATTCCAGAATGGTTTTTTGTAGTAAGAACTTTAAGACTATTAAATCATAATATTAATTAAAAATATATATTCAAAAATTAATCTTAGAAAAGCAGCACTAAATAAGCCAAATTATTTAGTTTAAATAATAAAATTATAACTAAATTATTCCAATGAAATATAGTTTTAATTCAGATTTTTGCAGGACCCTAAAAAAAGTAAGTTCAGTTTACTATTGGAATTTGGTCAATTCTTCCCAAATCATAAAATACAGTAGACTGTGTGTGTGTATGTGTGTGTGTGTGTGTGTATTCTCCATTGGGAAATGAAATCTTACAGTATTTAGCTCATGCTAATTGAGAAAATGGTTATTTAACAATTCCTTTACTTTTGTTATTCAATTATGGAGCACCTTCTGTACACCACTTAACTTTTCTAGGTACTGAGGAAACATCAGTGAGCAAAACAGAGAGAACATCTACTGGCATTCCACTGGGGTGAAGCCAACAATTAAAATACACTAATGAATCTGTTAGGTGGTAATTAGTACTTTGAAGACAAATACAGAAGGATAAAGGGATATGTAGTGATTGGAGGAGAGTGCTATTTTTACATAGGTACTGATAGGATCTTTTATAGGAAGATATTTGAACAGACATGAATTAAGCAAAGAAGCCAATCATGTGATATCATGGGGAGAGTCAGCATGAAGTGTAAGTGCAAAGATCCTGAGGTAGGAATGTATATGAGGAGGAGAAAGTAGGCCAGTGTCTAGAGCAGAGTGAATTGGGGAATGGTAGGCGATGAGATCAGAGTGGTAGCAGGTTTTTAGGTAAGGAGACAGGCTCTCCCCAGTTAGATCATGTAAGATTTTTTAGGTAATGGCCAAGACTTGGGCTTTTACTTTGAAGGAGATGGGAAGTCATAAGAGAATTTTGAGCAGTGTGTCATATGACTTACATTTAGAAAGGTCAATTATAGGAGAATTGATAGAGTGAAAACAAGAAAACTTGCAGCTGTCCTGGTTAAGATGGTAGTGACTTATACTAAGACGGTAGCAGTGTAGTTGCTGAGAGAATGGTCAGAGTATGGATATAATTTTGATATAGAGACCAGAGAATTTTTGATGGATTAGATGTAGGGAGATATAAAAAAGTTTTTCCCAAAGTTTTTTATCTGAGCAACAGAGCTGCCATTTACTGTGATAAGGGAGATCAGGGGGAGGGGTTCTTTGAGGCAGCATAATCGTGCCAATTGCCTTAAGTTATTTATCAAATATCATTATTAAAAACCATTTCTAAAAAATGTTTCTGAAGAGAGTGCTGGAGTTGGAGAAAAACCTTAGAGATACTCTGTGCAACTCTCCTCTTTTGTAGGAAAATGAACTGTCTTGAGTCCATTACAGATAAGCGTCCAGAGAAGAAAACTCTTTGCTTATAGTCACATCTCTGGTTCATGCAAAGCTAGGACTAGATTTTTAGTCTCTTAGGCTACTTTTTCTCTGTTGTACCACATGCCTTTGCCATATACAGAGCTTTCAAAATCTGAATGAGCTTTATTTTTATTCTGCTTTTAGATTATTATAATTTTAGATAGTATTTTAAAGGCAGTGAGTTCAAGTTACATAGCAATTTTATTTATATTCTAAAAAGATTATTCTAAGTATAAGCCAAGTTCTCAGTTTTCATTCAGTGTTTTTTGTGCATGTGTGTGTGAGGAAAATAGGATTGGGTTGGGCAAAGTGACTCACAAGCTTTTGGGTTGGAGCATAGGTAAAGGTGACCTGATAGTGCAGGTGGGGCATCAGGAATAGTCTGTCCCAGGTGCGAACAATAAGGAATTGAATTGTCTGTAGAGAAATTTAAAATATAATAAAACCAGTTGAAAGTCAGTCTGTTTTTTATAGCCATGTACTAGCAGTTCTAAACAATGTCCGTTTTCAAATACTCCTTCCTTAAAAACATCTTTTGTTGGTCCAAGTTCTAAACAATTAATGTTGTTACTTTTGAACTTCACAGTATATATGTAAACTTTCAATTAGTACATCTTTATTTTTTGTTTTTTTAATAATGCTGTATTGCACACAGGAGTTAATTCAGAGAACTCCCAGTTTTATAGTCAGCCCTACACTCCACCTCCCACTATCTCCAGTACCTATGCACTCAGCTATATTTAGCCTCATTCAAGAGTGAGTTTGTAAGGTTTTAGAATCCTTCTTTCTGGCAAAATTTTTATTTCCAACTCTCCTGTTGTACTATAAGTTCCAAAATTTAAGTATCAGATTTGGAGTAAACGTCAAATAGATAGATATAGCTCAGTGATTGTAAATATGAAGAAATAAAACTTAAGTTCTTGGAGCATTTATTTGTGTTTAAAAGCTTTCAATTGCGGTACATCTGAAAGGTGTTACTAGAATCAATCCTAAAGAAACAAAGACATTACAGTTTCTGGAATTTATTGTGAAATACTTTATGAAACTCTGTTGAAGTCATCCCTATCATTAAGGTATTTCCTAGCTATTTGGATATGTGTTGCTTCAGGGAAGAAACTGGAAATTAAAATTAACTAAACATATTCTTCATTGATTATGCGCAAAGAAACTTTTTAATTGAAGTATAATTAACATACAGTATCTTATTAGTTTCAGGTGTACATCATAGTGATTCAATATTTTTATACATTACAAAATGATCCCCATGATAAGTCTAGTTACCATCTCTTTCCCTACAAAGTTATTACAATATTATTGACTATATGGCCTGTTGTTATTCTCCTTTCATGATTATTACAGAAAATTTTGTTGTATAGAGGAGTAGGTATGGTAAAAAATGATCTGCTCTGGTTATTTAATATTCTAGGTGTGTAACTGACTGATAAGAGTAGGCCCTGAGAACAGGATCCTGTGTCACAGGTTTCTAGAACCAAAGCATTTTGTCAGTTTAGTCGTAAAAATGTATTGTCCATATTTGGTCTTATTGCTTTGAGGAGAATGTGATGACTTAGATTTTGCTTTATTTGAGGCAAATATTACTCAGACTGAGATTGTCTTTGCCAATAATTTATTTAAAACAGGTTTATTGTGGAAATTATAATTGATAGTATTTCACAAGTCTCTTAATAAGCCAATAAAGAAATATTCCAAATCAATGATAGATTAATTACACTATTTTTTCAGGCAAAGGAGCAGTGAAAGAAATAAGGTCCAAATTTAGTTGAGGTGTACCTTTCTGTGAGTTGGTTCACAGAAGAGTCAGTCTTTCCAACTAAAATCTGGGTATCAGGGGCGCCTGGGTGGCTCAGTCAGTTAAGGGTCTGCCTTCGGCTCAGGTCATGATCCCAGGGTCCTGGAATCGAGCCCCATGTCATTGGGCTCCCTGCTCAACAGGAAGCCTGCTTCTCTCCCTCTCCCACTCCCCCTGCTTGTGTTCCCTCTCTCACTGTGTCTCTCTCTGTCAAATAAATAAAAATCTTAAAAAAAATAAATAAATGAAATAAAATCTGGGTATCAGCTGCTGGCTTAGGTCCCTTG